AAATCTACTCACAAACTGGACTTTACATAGGACACGAGGACATGGATTTAGACTGCAAGAAAGAAGATTTCATCTAAGGCAAAGGAAAGATTTTTTTTACTATAAGAACAATCAGAATGTGGAATTCTTTGCCTGAAGAAGTGGTTTTATCAGAGTCCATAAAGATGTTCAAACAGCAAATAGATGCATACTTGCAAAAACTGAATATTCAAGGATATAATTTTTCAATGTAGGGTAATAACTGCTTGATCCAAGGATAAATCTGTCTGCCATTCTGGGGTCAAGAAGGATTTTCTTTCCTAATTTGTTGCAAAACTGAAAGTGTTTCAAACTGTTGTTTTTTTTTTTTGCCTTGGCTCGGATAAACAGCAAAAAACAAATGTGAGGAAGGCTGAACTTTATGGACACAAGTCTCTTTTCAGCTATGTAACTATATGTAACTTGCCACTATATGTAACTTGCCAAAGGAAAGCTTTTACATCTCCACTAAATAATATCTTCATAAGACTATCATCAGAGTTTACAGGGAAAATAAACTTCTTAAAAATAATGTCTCAATTTATATTTATTATAATCTGAAATGCAAAAGACCAGACCTTGATCAGAGATACATTTAGGATTTTACTACAATTGGAATAAAAGGTTTGAATTGAACAAGGCTGTGTTACCTCTGCTCTGTCACCTTAGCAATTTTCTCTCTTTATTGTATTCTGACAGTAAATAGTTAAATCGTTTATTTAATGTCTCTATTTTAAATGTCGCCACTTACACAAGATATATTTCCTGTGGGTTTGAGGATACATACAATCTAAAAGAAATGTGTGAACAGAATAACTCACACTGATCTGTCAGAATTCCCCCCCCCAAAAAAAATGCACTAAAAAAAAATAAAAATAAAAATGGTATGACTTGGAAGACAACAGAGAATCAGGTAGTCAGGAGGACATTGTACAAAGCTAGACCTGTTTAACGTATAAATATATTTATAGTTTCCATTGTTTTTTTTCATTAAGACACCTTCTAAAAGACATTTCCTGTGGTCTTGAGAATAGAAGTTTCACACCGTTTGTTTACAGATGAGACATTTAGTAAATATGGTATTTATTTGATCTGGTTCACTTGAACCTTTGAAGGATGAGAAAAAAGTTAAACTGCAGTGCTAACATTAGAAGATCCCTGACCGCTTGTTATGTATTAATGTGATGTGAGGTAGGGCCTGCGGATTACTGCAAGCAATGACTGATAAAGACGCTGAGAGTAAGGTTTCAATCTTTTCCTACTGGTATTAATGTCTTTCAATGCCCTCAGTGGCTCTTCACTTTTCTTAGGAAGTAGAACATCTAAAATTATGTTGACCATAAAGATCACAGACTGCAGGAGATTGGCTAGTAGCAAAGGGCTTAACATTTTGTGCCTTAAATTATGCATATATATATATATATATATATATATATAAAGCTGCACATGTAGCGTGTGTACATGTGTGTGTACTTGTGACTGTAAATGTGTGTATTTGACTGCAGGTAATATGGGTGTCAATCTAGGTATATATGTATGTGTGTATGTGACTAAACATGTAACATGTGCACATATGTTTGCACGCGTGTCAGTATGCAGTGTGTGTATGCGGCGAGAATTGAGTGAATGCATGTGAAACAATTCCATGGAAACCTTTCCCTATCTATCTTTGAGGAGTTCTGGAAGGTTTTAAGCTCCAGGATCAATTGTTAACAGGTGGCATATTGGGTATTTCCCCACAATTGTGTGGAATAATCTAAAACATTAACAGGATTATTCCTGGAGCCAAGAATTGCCCAAAACGTAAAAGTTTGGCCCAAAACTGCAATCACCAACACAACTATGTTCCAGGTCAGCTCTTTTGCCTAAAGACTTACAATACTTGCTGCTAATACAAAGACTAAGCAGCAAGGACATGTACTAAAAGTGAGGACTGGGGACATGCAAAGAGAAAGAACTGGGGGGTAATATGTGATAGAGAGAATCAGGGGGTAAGACAGGGATAACATATATTAAAAAATACTTTTATATATTAAAACATATGTTTGAGTTGACAGTTATCATTTAAGCTGACCAATGGAAAATCTCCTGGCTTTCTGTTGGCCAGTCCAGCCTTGTGTTTCACTCTGTATGTTGTCTGAGACTACAGAATGTAAGAACAGGTTCCTGTGGAATTTGTAATAAGAGAAAACAAATGGATACCTGGATAGAGCTGGGCAGCAAGGGAATCTGATGTCCAGAAGAGGGATGTGTTGGTCTCATGATCAGTTTGTATACTAAGGTCTTGGCAGACAGCATAGAACCATAACTAGGGAGACAAGGCAAGTCAAGTAGCTTGAGCTTCCTAGATGTTAGGAAGTGGTACAGAAGTGGAGAAAGGATTTAAAATTGATGGGGCAGGTAACTGAGCAGAGGGAACACGAGGACTTTAGTAGAAACAAGTTAAAGTACATGTAGACGGAAAAGAAGAAATGCCAATGGGACCAGGGAGAAGGCCAAAGACACCTGGACCTTCGCAGCCTGAGTCAGTGTCAGACAAAGAGCAATATCAGAAGCTTAATCATGGCTTTTAGAGGTAGGGGCTGCTAATAAAGGGATGTGCACATGTGTATTCTAAAATATATGGGAGGGACAATCTAGGAAGTGTTCTGTCATCAGCCCAGCTCACGGACACAGACTGACTATTGGGTTGATGCTGGCATCATAGCACAAACCCTTACATTGTGACACACACCTACATTCTATAAGACGACATGGATACTAGGACATAGTCCCCATGGAATCGGTGTCTTTCTACTTTCTTGCTTTATCGTTCTTCGATTTCTTTGCTCCTCATTTCTTCTGTCTGGTAATTGTATTAAAGGGTTTGTAGAGTGGAACAATATTGCCCATACTGCTTCCTTGTTTCCATCTATTATAAGTTATGAGTCACATCATGTATATTATTTTGTCTGGATATTCTATGACTGACTATACTGAAGTTCCAATCTCATATTTTATGTAACTTTTTTTATAAATATTGTGATTTATAACATTGTACCTTCTCACTTGCTGCTTGCTTTGGTTACGTAATACATTACTAAAACTTAATAAACATTATTGAGAAAAAAAATGATGTTGTCCATTTATTAGCGTTTATTCACTCATAAGAGTTCACAGAAATATGGGGATTGTAAGTGATATTTGCCGTTGTTTTTGTTCATATTTTAAATTTGTTTAAACAAGAGGAAACAAAAAGCAGTATTGTTACTGTAAAAGAACAAAGCTATTGCTGAGAAGATTGCGAATATGAATGAATTTAACTGCCCGAAAACAGGAGTGGATTTATAACAATGGGGCAATACTGGCAGCTGATGTTAAAGCTAACAAGGGGTTTGCTAAATTGAAAAGTAAAGCTGGAGTTAACCTATTACATATATAATGGATATTCATTAAACATTTGCAAATATTTTTAAAGTCTAGTTTCTTCCAAGAGAGCTAAACTAAGTTGAACCCTGTACAAGTTTAATTTTCTCTCTTTCTCATATACAGCCAAAAGGGACCCAGGTCTAGACCCACAACATCCAAGCAATACGACAAAAACAATACCTTGTTCTAATATAGAATGGGCATTGTTTTAGCATCTATAACAATGGTATAATCTTTCACTTTCATGGTATCAATGAAAAGGAACTAGAAGAGCGAAATAAATAACACACAAAAACAACTAAATTGACATCCATGTGCACTTAAAGGACCACTATAGTCACCCAGACCACTTCAGCTCAATGAAGTGGTCTGGGTGCCAGGTCCCCCAGGTTTTAACCCTTCAGATGTAAACATAGCAATTTCAGAGAAACTGCTATGCTTATATAGCAGGGTTAATCCAGACTCTAGTGGCTGTCTTCCTGACAGCCGCTAGAGGTGCTTCTGTGGCGCTGGATGCGAAATTCGCATCCATCGCGCAGAGCGTCCAAGAAATGCTTTCCTATTGATTTTTGAATGCGTGCGCAGCACTTGACGCGCATACGCATTCGGCTCCACTGGGGAGCTGACGTCGGCGGGGAGGGAGAGGTCACCAACACCGAGGGAGCATGGCGCTGGATTAAGGTAAGTGGCTGATGGTGTTTTAACCCCTTCAGCACCAAGGGAGGGAGGCCACGAGGGTGGGGGGTCCCAAGGATGATATAGTGTCAGGAAAACGAGTTTGGTTTCCTGACACTATAGTGATTCTTTAATACTAGTTTTTCTGGTAGAATGTATAGTTGAAAAAATTTACTTGATTGAAAATTGACTCATATTTTATATTTATATGTTAGATGATAGAGTTGCCCTATTACTTTAAATAATTGTGTACAAACAGGATTTTACTAACACTGCATCTTTTATTGCCCAACCACTTGGTGGTTTTCTTATGTATAATTTTCAGTTATTTTGCAAGCTATATATGTTTGGTGAGATATATACATATTTTTTTTTTAGGTCAGTTATGGACCCATTGTATATTTTATCACCACAAACCACAAATGCAAAATGTGAGAAAACACTTATATATTCATGTAATTCTGTAGTGTCAATGAGATCGCTATTTCTGTTACTGTTACAGATGACAGGCAAAAACAGGATGAAAGATGCAAATAAATTGAAGATTATGCTAGCATTAGTGTACTTAAAATCTTAATTTTACTAATGACAGGAGGCGAGTATTTTGCATAAACTCTCTTTACTAACTCCACACAGCAGTAAAGAAAGTGAAAACATTAACCAATCAAAAATGCAGTAAGAGGTATAATATTCACAGTGATGAGGCTCCTCCCCCTCTTTCGAAAGCGACATCAGAAACAAGTTCCCCCCAAAAAAGGACCAAAGTCTTGTAACGTGCACCAACGGGTGACTTTCCAAATGAGCAGTTCTAGAGGCCAGAAGATGGTCCAAACGTGTCCATCCTGAGCGTGAGCTGCAATGTCTTGAAGTTATGCTGAAAAAGAACGAGGAAAAGGTTAGGTACCGATCTGGCAACTGTGTGCAGTAATGAAAATAGACCCAACATAAATTCCACTGAAAAGTTGTAAAATTCATAACAGAATGACCATAACCAATAACAGAGACATAAATAAATAAATCTGGTTCGAACAAGATCTCCTGCAGAGTGAGTAGGAAGATAGTAGAAGGAGTGAATACCCAGAGTGTAGATATACTTACGTGAGAGCGTATCCCTCGAGGGTGTGGAGGGCGGGAAAATACTCGCCTCCTGTCATTACTAAAATTAAGATTATAATCTTCAATTTTACAACATGACAGGAGGCTTCATATTTTGCATTTTTAACGCTGATGAAGGAGAGACGCGGCTGCCCCCCGAGTTCGGGCGGAAGTAGAAGGTCCGAAAGGTCGATTCGCGTGACCAATCCGCGGCTCGTAGGATGTCTGCCAGCGACGCGCCTGCGGTGAAAGCCGACGAGGCCGCCGCTCCATGTACGGAGTGGGCACCGAAGGTCTCTTCCACTCCTGCCAGAGACAGGATCCATCGTACCCATCTGGCGAGGGTGGTAGTAGAGACAGGTACATGAGGTCTAACGTAAGACACCAATAGTTGGCCCGAAGATGAGACCTGAAGTAGGGATGTGACCTGTACGTATCGACGCAGAGTAGAAACCACGCAAAGCAGCGGTTCCGTAGGGAAAAAGGGGTAGAAGACCGACGAGGAATCCGATTTCGTACGACATGACACTTGGAAGGTAACTCCCTCGGGGGAGACCGAAAAGGCGTCAATGTCGAATGCCCGCACGTCCGATACTCTGCGGAACGAGACCAAACAAAGTAGAAGTGTTAGTTTGGCCGACAATTGTCGAAGTGAGAGTCTGTCGTTATCTGGCCAGTCCCTGAGGAACTGTAGGACGACTTCCACGTAACATAATCGGGTGTATTTGGGTTTGGGAGGCCTCTGGAGTCTGATACCCCTGAGGAGACGGCATACCAGAGGATCTTTCCTGACGGTACCCCCAGGACCGGAACGTGAGCAGCCGAAATCGCAGAGCGTACAACGTTGAGGGATCGGTAAGACCGGCCCACGGAGTATAGATGGGAGAGAAAGTTCAAGATGGCTGTCACAGGTGCCGTAAAGGGATCAAAGTTCCACTCACTGCACCAAGCGGACCAGGAATTCCATGCTGCGAGATAGCATCATCTGGTTCCTGGTGCCCATGAATCCCATAGGAGATCTCGAGATGTCTGCGATAGGTCCTCGGTATGCCAGGCACCCCTGAAAGAGTCCAAGCTACTAGAGTGAGGCGGTCTTCCAAAACGAGGGGGTGGGGGTTCCCTCTCGGATCTGTGAGGAGTGTCGGGTAGGACGGTATGAGGAGAGGGTCCCTGTAGGATGACGTTAGAAGGTCTGGAAACCATGGTTGGCCCTGCCATAGGGGGGTGATGAGGAGCAGAGACCCGCGTTGCGTCTTCAGGTATTGTATCGTCCTTGCCTCCATGGCGAATGGGGGAAAGGCATAAGCGCCCCTGGGTGGCCATGGTTGGAGAAACGTATCTACTGCCTTGCTCTCTGGATCTGGTAGCCAGCTGAAGTACTCGTCCGTCTGCCTGTTGTTCCGTGATGCGAAGAGGTCTAGGTGAAGGGGGCCCCTCCTGACCGAGAGGCGATGGAAGATCGTCGGGTCCAGTCTCCAGTCGCTGCTGTCCCGCCAGTGGCGAGAGAACCAGTCCGCTGTTAGGTTTGTTTCGCCCGGGAGATATTCTGCCATGAGGGAGATTTTCCGGGGTAGGCAAAACTCGAATATTTCTTTCGTAAAATCTGAGAGGAGTCTGGACCGGGCCCCTCCCAGTCTGTTGATGTAACGGACCGCTGAGACGTTGTCCATCCGGAGGAGGATGCAGCAATTCGTCCGGTCTCTCGCTAGGCTGCGGATTGCAAACGACCCCGCTAGGACTTCCAGGCAGTTGATGTGGAGGTTGAGTTCCTGGGACGTCCAGGTACCTCCCATCGAACTGCCTTCGCAGGTGGCGCCCCATCCCCAGAGGCTGGCGTCCGATTCCAGGACTATGTTGGGCATGTTCCCGAAGATGGCTCGGCCATTCCAAGCTTCCATGCTGTCCAACCACCATCCGAGTTCTTCCTTGACTTCCTCCGTCACCGGAATAGTTTGGTCGTATGAAGGGTTCTGGCGGAGAAAAGAAGCCTTCAAGCGTTGCATCGCTCTGTAGTGTGGGCCCGGGAATATCGCCTGGATAGATGCGGATAGCAAGCCCACGATCCGTGCCAGGTTGCGGAGTGGAATGGTGTGGCAGCGAATGGCTCTGCGTAGTTCCTTCTTGATAGCTGTGATCTTTGATGTCAGGAGCCGTAGTGTGCTGGTCTTGGAATCTATCTCGAAGCCCAGAAATTGTATCGTCTGGGCTGGGGATAATTCCGACTTTTGGAAATTCACCACGAAACCTAGGGATGTGAGGAATCGGGTGGTATACTGTGTGTGTTGCGTTAGACTGTACCTGTCTGAGGAAAACAGTAGCAGGTCGTCCAGGTAGATAATGCACCGAATTCCTTGAGTTCGTAGTCGAGACACTACTGGCTTCAGTAGTTTGGTGAAGCACCACGGTGCTGAGCTGAGGCCGAAGGGGAGGCATGTGAACTGCCAGGGGCATTGTCGGCAAGACGTATGGACGGGTACCGATAGGTAGACGTCCTTGAGGTCCAGTCTTATGAACCAGTCCCCGTCTTGGAGCAGATCTCTTACAAGATGGATACCTACCATCTTGAAATGTCTGTACATCACAAAAGCGTTGAGCCTCGTTAGGTTTATAACCGGCCGGAAGTCTCCGGATTTCTTCTTCACTAGGAAAATGTTGCTGAAGAAGCCGTTTTTGTCGTGAGCGGGTTCTATCACTCCTTTTGCCCTATGCTCCCATAGTTCGCCATCGATTAGGTGGCGATCCTCCTCGGAGCACTGAATGGGGTGCGGAGGGGTGGTCTGGGACGGGGTTTCCACGAAATCTATGACGTAGCCCCGAACCGTCTGGAGGATCCATGCGTCCGTGGAAATGGCTGTCCAGTTCTGAAAAGACAGAGCGATACGACCTGCAGTATACGGGGTAAGTGGACATTGAGACACTATGTTGCTTACCTGTGGGAAAGCATGCTCTGCCACGGCTACGAGGTCCTCTGCCTCTGTCGGCTCCTCGGGTGTAGGAGAAGGGTTGCCTGAAACCCACTTCCGGGTAGAAGGGTTGGGGTCTGTGTGAGCGGGGGCCGGAGGGCCAAAACCGGCTGGCTGCTCGGCCCCTGTAGGGGCCAGCCCGTCCAAAAACACCCCGACTGGGGTAGCCCCTGAAGACTCACTTCATGGAAGTTTGAGCCTTATTTAGCGAGGTGAAAATGTTTACGTGCTTGTTTAGTTCTTTGAGGAAGGCTTCCCCAAACAATTTGCCCTGTGCAAGCGGTCCCAACTCCTTGGTGCCCAATTCCACCAGTTTTCCGTCAATACGGAGTAGCGCTGCTTTACGCCTCTCAGAGGAGAGGGCTACGTTGGTGTTGCCCACAAAACATTCTCTTATATCATGTGCCCACTCTTTTATCATGCTGGCATCAAATTCGTCAGCCCTTGTAAAAGCAGCGTCCGCCTAAAAAATGAGGCAGGAAAGTGGGCCAATGGAGTCTAGGAGTTTGTCCTGAACTCCATGGAATCCTTTTTCCACTCCTCTCCTGGGGTCACGACCACCCCGCGACATGAATGTGTTCATGACCTGGTCGAATTCGGGAGTCTGAGCCACGTGGTCGGGAAGCGAAGGGCGAGGGCATTCAGAACGTAGGCGGTTGCGCACTGTTTTGTCCAGGGGTTTGCGGAGCCAACGATGCATAAATTTGGAGAGATGGTCGGGTGGGGTCCAGTCCCCTGAACGCGGGTGCCGTATATTGCGAGGGTCGAATAGACGTTGACCCGTGGGGTCCAGAATGGCTTCCCCTTCTTCTTGGACCGGTGTGGCGTCCGGCAGTTGGATGTCGTCCAAGAAGGTGCCTTGCAGGAAACCGGTATGGGATCCGTGTCCGAACCCCAGTCATTTTCTTGTGAATCGGAATCTGCGGCCTGCCACTCGTCCAACACGGCCATGGAGCGTGTGTGTTCTTCCCCCTCGTCCGAGGAGTAGTGGGCTGGAGTGGGTGGGGCTGGCCTGTGGCGTTTGGAAAGTGTCTTGCCTTTGCCTGGGTTGTCATTCCCTTTTTCGCCCTTCCAGTGGCGTTTGCTGGGCCATGAGTCGGCCTGAGCATGGGATTCTGAAGCCTCAGAATCGTAGTCATGGGCTTGGGCTTTTGTGACTTTTTTAGTCTGATCGGCTGTTGCCGTCATAACCCTGGATAACGCTTTCTCCATAGAGGCGGAGATGGCTTCCGCAATCATGGTTTGGAAGTCCGCAGGGCTTTGGGGTGTATCCATAATGATAGGAGTAGGGCCGCTGTAATAGATAAATCACAGGAAAAAACGTTGGGCTAGGGGTCAGTCCCAGTGAGTGAAAAAAGGTACCTGCAGTACCCAGGTAACCCCAGCAGGGTAAATTATATATATATATATACAGGGAGTGCAGAATTATTAGGCAAGTTGTATTTTTGAGGATTAATTTTATTATTGAACAACAACCATGTTCTCAATGAACCCAAAAAACTCATTAATATCAAAGCTGAATATTTTTGGAAGTAGTTTTTAGTTTGTTTTTAGTTATAGCTATGTTAGGGGGATATCTGTGTGTGCAGGTGACTATTACTGTGCATAATTATTAGGCAACTTAACAAAAAACAAATATATACCCATTTCAATTATTTATTATTACCAGTGAAACCAATATAACATCTCAACATTCACAAATATACATTTCTGACATTCAAAAACAAAACAAAAACAAATCAGTGACCAATATAGCCACCTTTCTTTGCAAGGACACTCAAAAGCCTGCCATCCATGGATTCTGTCAGTGTTTTGATCTGTTCACCATCAACATTGCGTGCAGCAGCAACCACAGCCTCCCAGACACTGTTCAGAGAGTTGTACTGTTTTCCCTCCTTGTAAATCTCACATTTGATGATGGACCACAGGTTCTCAATGGGGTTCAGATCAGGTGAACAAGGAGGCCATGTCATTAGATTTTCTTCTTTTATACCCTTTCTTGCCAGCCACGCTGTGGAGTACTTGGACGCGTGTGATGGAGCATTGT